CCCCAAAACCCCAAAACCCCAAAACCCCAAAACCCCAAAACCCCAATTATACTTGTTTATATTGAAAATGAGTAAAATATTAAACTAACTGCTGAGTAGTCTATATTCAATGAACTGGTCAGGAATCTGCTGCAATAAGTTCTCTTTCAAACTATGAGGAAAGTCATCGTAGTCGCTAAATTTTGCAAACTGGAAAATCTCTCTGAGAGATGGCTTCCTTTTAAAATCTTTGAATGAACTTGAGTCAGTTTGCAAAGAGTCGTACTTGAGAATATCTGTATCTCCAAGTTCAACTAGGATTATACTTAGAGGGAGATGACTTGCTTCAGCAATTCTAGAATGAGTTAGCTTATTTCTAGAACAAAAATTTCTCAAAAATAGAAGTAGTCTTGAATTTGATGATAAAGAATATTCACATAACTTACGTTGGGATGGTTGTTGCCCAATCGGTTGATGGCTCATTGGTGATTATAAGCAATACGTTGTACTCATTCATCTCCTTTCTCTCTTCAATGAATTCCATCATTCTTCTGATGCATGGCTCAAAGTTAGAAGGAGAGGATGGCTGCATGCCACCCTCAATTGCTTTTCTATAGGCTTGTATGACTCCTTCTATACCCTCGACTTCCCAGTCTTTGAGCCCATTGAGGTTGAATCAGTCTGGCTCCATAGTTCTAGATGAGAGCCTGGTCCTTGCTCCAAATCCAAGGGCAGGAATTTTGTTATCAGCTGTATACCACTGTAGAATACTTCCTACTTCTGTGAGAACTTCTTCATATGGTGACTTTTTGGCGAAATCATCGGAATCGATGAAATGTAAGGAACCTGGATCAGAAAATTCTCCATTTGATAATGAAAAGTCGATCGCAACACTGAAAGTAAGATTCCAGCCACTTTGGAAGTAATCAATAATGGCTGGGTTGTGGACCATCTTAAATTTATCAAAATAGAGCTTTCCATATTGGTTTCCTTGTCTCTTAATTATTGGAATAGGCTGATCCTCTTTCTCCATGAACTCTCTGGCTGTACCTTTGACGGTCCCATAAATTCTATTATTTTTCTTTGGGTTGAGCTGACCATATCTCAAATATTAAAGGTATGTCAAGATCAGAGTATCACAAATCCTCAATCGTGAGCTCACCGACATGCCATAGAGGGTTCAAAGTTTTATGCTGAGTTTCAGAAGTATACACCACTTCTGCTTCAGCATAATCTTTATCTGTAGGATTATGCTTATCTCACTTTTTGATTACCAAGAAGGGATGATCCGTGGCGGTGAAACCAAGGTTTTTCTTCTTAGACTTCAGGCCAGTACAAGATACGGATATTTTGATGCTCTGGTCTTCTCTCTTGATAGACTCAGCTTGTACTATAATCCTCCCTCCTTCGTGCCTATGGTCAAGATCTCCTGAGTAAGTCTGGGATGGAGACCCAACGATCTGTGCGACTTTACATGTATGTTGAGCTTGGGGTTCTTCTTCACCTTGGTCGTCATCATAGATCTCAAACCTAATATCTTGGTTATTTCTCAAAGCAGTAATCTATGCCAATGGGAGTCGCGAAATCAGGGTTCAGGGTCCCTCTGACTACATTAGTCTTGCAGAGTAACTTCCAGTCGGTTCTTTCATCATTTTTAAGCCAGATCCGACAGTACGGATCTAGCTTAGCTCCATGGTAGAGATCCTTTAGATCTCAGCAGGAGATGAACAGCTGGATCTCGTGATGTGACTTTTCAGTTGGCCTTGATGGACAAGGAGGGCGCAACTCAGGCGGTAATTTGGTCTCTTCTTTAGGGCTTGAAGGCTCCATTTTGGGAAATTTTATTTTATGCAGTTCACCTGGGATTTAAGGGGTTTTGGGGTTTTGGGGTTTTGGGGTTTTGGGG